AAGATCATCAGAGTGAAAACAGACTCTTATAACTATAAGAGTATACTTATATACTCTTGTATAGTTGTATATAACTATACAACATTCATAAGAGGTACCTTAAAAATGTAAGAACAAAGAAAAGTTGAATAGAAAAACATATATGGCAAATTCTGACCTGCACAGAAATGAGTTAGTTATTTTGACATGAAAGTACATAGGCTTTGAGACAAAAAAAATTATTAGACATAGTCACTACCAAAAAAAAAAGCACTTGATAGTCTCAGTATATGGAGATAATATTGGTAATATTTTTTCACAGTATTTTTAAGTTTCTAGTGTCAAAAACCAAGCCAGCATGCACATTTATAGAATGACCTGAGTCGTGTGTATTTATTATATGCCCCATATAGAGAAATGGGTAGAAGAAAATGTACCTGAATATTAACTCTGGTTGACTTGATGAAGTATAACTGAGTTAATTTTTCTTTTTTTCTACTTTCCTATATTTTTCTAGTTTTCTCTAGTGAGTACTTATTATTTTTATACTGGGGGAAAATTTGGAAAAAATAACAACCTTCTAAATCTCTTTGGATTAAGAACTCTCCAGATACCCCACAATCAAGGAAGTCCAATGTCTTCTGCCAGTCATGATAACTGAGTTTTATGGCTTTAGTTTCTACAAGTGCGACAAATTAAATTAACAAGCATGACTCACCTATGTTATCAATGAGCCCTTACTAAGCATCTTCACTTTGTGGGACGATAGATCAGATGCAGGATGAAAGCTCACTGTACAACCCAGGCCCGTGCTCCCCTGGGGAGAACACAGAGAGCTGATAGGAAAGGTGGAGCAGGAAGATAGCAACGAACTTCACAGCAACAAACAAGGGGCAGAACAGGAAAGAGAAATTCAGGGACGGATAGGAATAGAGACCATGGCTTCACAAATCACTTAATGCTAAGGCAGAAGGTATAAAGACAAGGTGAACTGGAGAAAAGAGGAGAGGTTAAGAATAGCCAGCGAAAGGCAGTCACTGAGATTTCCCCATTGCTTATCTGAGTGGGGTTAAGTAGAATGATGACAGTAGGATAGAGAGCCACAAGGAACAGACAGTGTGACATTATAACTCAAGAAGTCACAGTCTGGGATGGTAGAGATTTACACACACATGTGCACACCACATGTAAGTTCCATAAACCAATGTCATTCAAATAAATTAGTGTAACTTCATAAATTGAATTTTTCTAAGTGTACACAAATTATTCAAGTAGCTTAAACAAATCACTTGTCCCTCTTGTTTTTTTTTTTTAATTTGCCTTTAAAGGGCCACCTTCCATGAGCCTTTCTGTAAGAATGAAAGGATTTTCAGTATATAAAACAGAAGGTGATGGAGCAATTATTCAAACACCTGCTCATACCTTTCTTACAGCTCTGACACACAGAAGCCGTGTCATACCAACTGCCAGCAGGCTGACAGAGTACCAAAAAAAGAAAGAAAACGGAAGAGGCCATGCCTCTCCTACAAACTCAAGGAAGAAAACTTTGCAGAAGCAAAGGAACAAATGAAGGAAAGAGAAGTCAGACAAAGCCTGACCTGTTGCACAGTGCTTGAGGGAGTGAGCCGCTGCCACAGCCGCCTGCACCATGGGGGTGGCTGCTTGAGCAGTGGCGCTCCACCAATCTGAGCTGCCATTCAGATTACCTGCCCTTATGACTTCCCCTTTGACGCAGACATCTGAAACCTCTTTGTTTTCTCATCATAGTCTCTTCATATACATGTCGTTTTACTACATCAGCGTCTCTTAAGTCTCTTCCACTGGATGACAAACTCATTCTATAAGGTGCCTTCGAGAGTCTTTCAAAGGGGATTTTGTAAATGCATAAGGAAGTACCAGGAAAAAGGATAGGATTTCCATTAGATCAATTGGAGCAAATAGTGGCCTCACATTTGTAGAAGACTTAATGGTCTATGAGATAGTTTTGTGCACATATTCTGTTTCATTCCTCAAGGTGTTAACGCTCTTCCTAACCCTTAAAGAGTCCTCCACTCCCAACCCCTGCTGAAAACACTTCAATGATTTTCTGTTCCCCTTGAATACAAAGACCAAAATCTTTATCACAGTATCTAGTTTCTACCTCTGACTTCATCTCACAATGCCCTTTGCACTTCAGCCATGCAGAACTTTTATCAGTTCCTCAGATGGGCCTCAGGACTTTTTACACATCTCTGTTGAAAGTTCTCCACTTTGCATTTTGCCAGTTAATTCCTACGCAGCTCCATTGCCAGTTCCTCAGAGAAGCCTTCCCAGTCTGCCTTACCAGGTCAAATCTCCTCAAGATGCCTTCCTTTCTTAGTACTTAATCCAATTATAATTATGCATGGATTTGTATGACCCTTTGAACACCCTTCATCTCTACCAGTAGACTGTGAGTTCTATAGAGGTAGTAACTACATCTATTTTTTGCTCAGTTCATGACACATGTATTCCACAATACTGAGTGAATGAATAAATGAATAATCTGTGGTGAGAAATGTTAAATTTGTATTTGGTAAATTCAGAAACTGAGTCTCATAGAGTATAAAGTATTTGCTCAAGGAGTACAGAATACAGGTGTTTGATTCCAAGGTAATTCCAAGGTATTTGGTTTCTGATTTCAAGGCCAGGAAATGTATCACTCCAAGGACTGGGAAGGGTTGCATGGCACATAGTATTGATAGGTGCCTGGTGCAGACTAGTTGAATGAAGAAATGGAAACAAAATGAAAGTAGAAAGGAATAAATTATAAACTTCTATATTGTTTTCTGTGTGAATAAAATTCTCTTGGCTCTGACGTGAGACAGGTCACCTCACCTTTCTAGGCCTTCGCTAAAGTTTCAACTAGATTATCTCTGTACTCTGCAAATCCAAGATTCTGTGTTTCCGAATTCCTCAGGCTTTGGATCCTAACAGCAGACTCCTACATGTGGTGGCTGAGTTCCTTAGCAGCCTAAATTTGACTTTGTTTTGGCTCAGTTTTAATGTGTATAAAGAGCAATTTTCACTCTACAAGAGGCAAATGAAGGAACAATTACATCAAAGATACCATACAGTTATAGAAACAATAGAAGGCTATTTGAGCTTCCTGTCCCAATTACCCAACTATGAGACCCTTGAAGATAGGCCAATGACATATTTAACATAACAATCCTCCCCCACACAGCTGTGCACCTGACATTTAGAAAGTCTATTGAGTTAAATGTTAAGTAGCAACATTAGTACATGAATTTATTGTGATAAAAGAATGAGTCCTATTATGTCAACCCATATAATAAAGTTTATTTTATCAGGGAGCTTTTAGTGTCCTCACTTTAAACCCAAAGAAGTAACACCAATGCTATGAATTCAAGCACTCTGATATGCCAATAATGGGGTTTTTAGAAGAGGTAGAATACTATTTCTTACCTCTTAGCTAAAATTATTAAACCTTTTTTTTCTATGTCAGGCACAAAACAAGAGCTTTGCATGCATTATCTCATTTAATCTTCAAACAAATCCTATGAGTTATTATCCCCATTTTCAAGTAGAATGTTTGATTTATAAGTAAATAAGTTACTTTCCCAAGGCCACAGGGTTAATAAGTGGCAGGACTGGGATTTGACCAAGTCTTAAAATCTATACCTAAAACCTGACCTCCCTACCACTACGCTACGTTCTCTCCCTAGTAATAGAGACAACCCTGGTATCTGAACTGCGAGTCATAGACTTTATTGTTTACCTTTACCCCTTATTACTTTTAATTTGTTGTACATTTTACTCACATAGCAATTTTCACTTAAACATTTCATTATTCCACCTGGAAGAACCTCACCACCTTTACTAACACTTATTATCAATGATTTTAAGGATTCTCTATACCCCCCAATTTTAAAGATAAGAAAACTGAGACAGAGAGTTGTTACATACTTTGGCCCAAGTAACAAGAGCCCAGAAGGATGAGAGCCCAGGGTGAACCCAAGACATTTGACTCCAGCACCCGAGTGCTGACATACACCTTCTTAGGGCATTTCTGCATCACTTGGAAGTCTGACATCAAGGTGTCTCACACTGTTCGTCGCCCTTAGCTGGTCCAATGTCAGTGACCAAAATAACCTGTAAGTGTGAATGCCTCCTTTTTTCAAAGATAATAATCCTCATGTTCTCTTGTTTATAAAAAGGTGCTAAAGTCAGTGCCAAGTTGTAATTTTATGTCATGTGCTTCCTTTAAGTGGTCTCAGTTCCGCTTTCGTCACTAATGAGCATTGTCCTGCATTAGACTTCACTTGCTCCTTTGAGGAAGACACGGGTGAATAATCTCGATTCCATATTCATTTGCCCCATTGGTCAGATTGCTTTTTGTTTTACTGAGAGATAATTATCTACCATCATGGAAGTTCCACATATAAAATCTTGATATAGTCAAGAGCACTAACATTTACTAAGTCTTTTGTATCACATGCCAGATGTTGTGAACTTCTTCACCTAGATGTCTCATTTATATAACCTTTTCATTAGCCCTGTTTTACAGCTTAACAGCTAAGCCCTGGGAGATGGAGAGCCTTGCCATAGAGCCCATGGCTGGACCACAGATGTGTCTGATTCCTGGGTCTGGACTCTTCACCACTCAACTCAGCGATTTGCAACTGGTGTGCTACAAGAATTTTTAAAAACTTGCAATATCTGACTAGTCAGAGGCTTCTGAGTTCTTTTCCCTTAGATTAGCAAATAAAAAAAATGGACAATAGCCAACACAACCAGAGCCATCCAGTGTGAATGAATCAAAATTACACCTATTTTTTTGTCAGACCTGCAAAAACACATTTTTTGACCAGAGAATTTTAGTAGTTTATGTGTGCCATAAGATAAAAAAATGTTGAAAATCACTGTCAATATGTTCTCATCCTCTATGACCACCATTGTAACCTCTTCCCCACCCCCACCCTTGTAATTAATAGAAGTTACCCAGATAGAATTTTAAAAAATAAAAATAAACAGAGTACCTGATAAGGCCCAGATCATCTCCATTCAAATCTACCATTTTCAAGACTACCATTTCCTTGTCCGTATTTGAAGAATATCTAGTCACCAAAACAAAGGAATTTAGTCAGTTTTATGTTAGAGCCTGGGCACCATGTACGACAAACAGAAACTGGCACAGAAACAAAAACTAACACGCGCGTCTGTAAAGGAAGGTCCCAGAGTCCCATGCTGCAGTCCTGTGCGCTGCACCCACAACCTCATTCCTCAGCTAAGGAAATGGTTTGCAACTGTGACCAGGGTTAGGGGTGTTAGATTGGCTAGCTGGAGGTGAAATATGCATTTTTATGTAATATATACAATATTATGCACATGAGTTTCTTACAAAAAGGACTTCTCTTTGAAATTTCTACTCATATCAAATTGTAGTGGACTCTCTCTTAAAACCAGGAGGAAGTATGCAAAACCAAAGCATTCATTACGTGTGACTTAAATGTTCTTTCATGTCCTTTCAAGGGACAGCAAATTATATTTTCTTTTAAAAAAATCAATTCTTTTGAAAGCTATTGAAAAATATGCAAATGTAAAATGCCAAGTGTTCAGGTTGCACTGAGAAGTTATTTTACACTGTCGTGGTAGCCCCTTCTGTTGCAATCCTGGCTCCTCACTTAAAAAAAAAAAGACAAAATAATCATCTTTCTTAGGTGTTCCATTCAAATATTCTCAATTATTCTAATTTTCTTTCTCATTCTTCTAGTTTTTTAATTCATTTATCTCCTCTCTCTTGCCACATTCTCTTGGACTAAGATGAATTAATGTGAGTTACTCATTAACAAATACTTGTTATGCACATTTTTATTTCCATTTTACAGACAAAGAAATTGAGAGCCAATAAATTAAGATAAATAAATCACTTATCATCACCACCATATATATCCTAAAGATCACCCAGCTAGGAAGTGACAAAGCTCAGGTGAGACCACAGCTCTGTCAGATTCCAAAGCCTAGAGTCCTTCAAATCCCCACACTGACTCCCACAGCCTTCCACCTAGGGAGATACACATGAAGGTTGCTGTGTATTTCTATGTTCACTTTTTATTTCTGCTTGTCTTAGATTATAAACATGTTTTTAAATTATTTCTCTTTAACACTCTTTTAGGATCCCACTATATACATCAAGTAACAACTCTGTTCTCAGATTTTGTTGCTGTTTCCTAAAGTAAACACAGGACTTCATTTTGATAATTACCCTGCTCACCTTGCTCGCTCTGATGGTGGGTTCTGAAGGTAAGAATGAGGGCTTCGGTTGATCTGTACACCGTCCACGTTTCCCTTATTGATAAAGATTTTGCCTGGTTTCATATTTGTGTGTGCCATCTCAATGCTCTGTGGGTTAAAAAAAAAAAGAGCTGTAATGTTGGAAATCCTGTTGGGGATAATAACTTAGTCAATACAAGCAGAAGAGACCTGTGGACAATTTCCGTGGCCTCCAACCTGTTCCCGCCACAGGACAAAAGCTGGAGAACCACACGGCTGGTGTCATTCTAGAGGTGTCACATGGCCTTCGGGTCTGAGAGAAAGTGCCCTTTGTAGAGCAGCACAGAGCTGATCAGCCCCTGACGGCTGAGTCGGGCACAAGCTGCCATTCAGAGGGCCCAAGTGGGAAACTCGACTCTGACAACCCTGGGACAGGATTTGTTACCGTGCAGGTATTTCCACCCTCCCTATTTTCTCCATCCCACACCCTTTAAGGCAGAGTTTTTCAAACTTTGAGACACACAGTTAGCTACACAGTTTCTGTCCAACCTTAATGCACATCAACATGCATAGCCTAAAATGAAGTTCACAATGCGTTTTATGCACTATGACGCTTTCCAAATTTTTGTTTTTTTATGCTTCTTGCAACCCATGAAATTGATCTCATAAAGCCATTTACAGATTACTGGCCACAGTTTGGAAACAGTACTGCAAAGAAATTTTGGCCTTTGCCAACCAGATTTCTGGATTTGGGGTGGGTGGGTGGTGGCAACTTTATAAGATAAAGTACGGAGAGACTAAACCTGAAAGGAATGAAGAAGAAAATATTAGCAAGGATCCTGTGCAAGGAAATATTAAACTGGAAGACCAGAGAGAGAGAAATAAAAATTAGGTACCAAAACCACAAACATGAAAAAAGTTTGGGGGTACTTGTAGAAGCACCATGTCAGTCTAAAGCTGCTGTAGAGAACTTAAGAAATGAGGAATTGGTAAATTAGATCTTTTATAGTCTTTAGAAAATACAAGGTAAGATTTGGAAATACAGGGAAAGATGGGGATTATTTGTAATTACTTTTGGTGCCTTGATGGGTTGGTATCTTTTCATGTGACTTTGGGCAAGAACAGGCTATGTGGGGCCCTATAATCTGTAAGGGTCACATACAAAATATTCTGTCTCTTTAGACAACGGCATGAGGCTCACTGCCATAGAACCATGCTCCACAATCAACCAATGCCTCAGGCTTAACAGTCCACAGCTCTGGACCAGAAGATACAAGGAGTCAGGAAGGGAGTAGGGCAGTAGGTGCTAAGACTGCATTCAGACCAAGATCCTAAAGGGACTGTCTCCATAGCACAGTCCTAAAGCACTGTGCACCCTGGAAAGGAACGGCTGCTGCTGTCTGCGGTTCTCTGCCTACCTGCATGATGCCAGTCACCATGTACTCAAAAGTTCGGTTGCTAAATCCTTCACTGGCGATCACGAACACGGTGTACTGGAAATACCCTGCTGGAGCCGAGTGTGTGTGAGTGCCACTCAGGATAACGTTGTCTCTTCTGTACAAGGAGCCATATTTCTGCTGCAGTCTGTTCAAGACCTTCAAGAAAGAAAGAAAGAAAGAAAGAGAAAAACTAAGAGGAGAAAGAAGAACATAGGAGCTTAGCATGAGAAAAGGCTCTAATGAGCCTCATCACTGATCCGTACCAATGACTTCCTTGTCAAGTGGCCCTTCACTCTCTATCCCATCACAGTGTCTCTACGGTACATATACCATACTTGGCTGTGTATAACACGCACTTTTTTGCCCAAATTTCTAAGGGAAAAAGAAGGATATGCATTATACATGGGTCATACTAATAATGCGTAAATATCTTAAATTTGTCACCAGTACATAAACTTTCTTGTACCTTGTATCTGTTCCTGTGTTTTGTAATTATCTGTTACATAAAATTTCTTGCACCATAATATGTTCAAAAATAAATTCTGAAACTCCTTTATAATACAAAAAACGAGTATCTAAGTATAAAGAAATAATCAATTGAATTAAAAAATTAAAACTAAAGATTTTTTCCTGAAAGTTTGGGCCCAAAACATGGAAGCGCATTATACATGGCAAAAGATGGTAGCTTACATAGTATATATAACTTCAGTATATCATCATAGTAACAACGATTGCAATAGCTAACATTTTACAGTCTTGCTATGTGAAACACACAATGCTAGGTATTACATACATTATGTCATTTAAAAATCATTGCAATAAGTTCAAGAGGGATGTATTTTTAACCTTTCCTTTTAGCTGGTAACATTGAAGCATACAGATGTTAAATAATTTTCCTACTGATGTAATAAATAGCACAGCCTGAATCCCAATCTAAGTCTCTCTAACTATATTCTCTCTAAGAGATTACCCATTCATCTTTCCACACCAAACATTAATATCCAGGTACTGTTCTAACTAGGCATATATGAGGTTCCAACTCTGAAGAAGTTATTATTCGAATAAGAGAAAGATAATAAACAAAAAATAAAGAAGTAATATTATATAGTGATAAATGTTATAAAGCAAAATATTGCTGGGTAAGGGAAAAAAGGGTGTTTGATGTTAGTGAGGAAAGCTTTTTCCAAAGAGATTACCCTTCATCAGAGCCCTAAATGAAGAGAGCAATCTGGTCACACACTGCCTGGGAGGAAAAGCATTGTGGGAACAGTGAACAGATTGTGCAAAGTCCTCTTTACTGCCTCACTTCCCAAAATGCACTCAGTCTTCCCTGACACAGATCATTACACTTACTGGTCTGGGGGAAGCCCACGCTGTGACCTAGTGACTCCCCAGCCATCCTGTGGAGAGGTCCCTGAGGAAAAGGACCTTTCTGTCAGCACTAACGTGCTGGCCATGTGGGTGAGCAACCTTAGAAGTAGACCTTTCAGCTACAGTCAAGCTTTCAGACAACTGCCATGAGTTCAACCTATGACAGAGGTGTCATATAGTTGTTAGTTGTTAATTAATAAATGTGAACATATATATTAATTATATAGAGAGAACAGTGGCTGACTCATCATGGGAACTATGTTAAGTGTTAGACTTTATGTCTATTAATTCCCAAATCTCATTAGCACGTAATCTGACCTCTTGCCATCAGGTCGTCTCACTGCCAGGACTTGCATGCCAGGCTCACACGACGTAGGGGAAATTCCCAAGCAGAGTCAAAACCCTTTCTGCAACTCCAGCTGCCCTGTATAGCTATTTCAGCCTTCCAACCCCTTGTCAAATCCCACTGTGTTAAATTCCCTCTGTTTGAAATGCCTAGTGTGATCACTGTTTTCCCAACAGGACCCTCACCAACAGGGCCTTGACATCCATGTGAAGATTCTGCCCATTTGTGTCCTCACCTCCAGTTCTAGCCTATTGCAATTCACCTCAAATATCACCCTCTGATTAATCACCCTCAAGCAAAATTCTGATTGCATCACTTTTCCATTCAAAAGTTTTCTAAGAATCCCCATCACCTACAGAATTTAAAAAAACTTGGCATCCCAAGACCTCTACAATTATGACTAACACTGCTTCCAGGTCCATCTCCAATTACACACCTGCATGTGTTCTAATGGAACTGACCTCTGTCCCTCCAGAGAAGAGTCTACGCTCCTCCCTTGCGCCTCTCTGTGTTTGTGCCTTCCCTCTATTTGACAGCTCTCCCTTCCCATGTTAACCATTTAAAATTCTGCCCATTCAAGTGTCACCTTCACTTTTAAATTTTCCCCTAATTTTTATTTCCTGAATCTCTGTGTGGTGGTTTTAAAATACTATGTGTCCACGAATTCTTTGATACTCCTGCCTTCAAGAGGTGAAAGTTAAGTTTGCTGCCCCCGAGTGTGAAGTGGATTTAGTGACTTGCTTCCAATGAGTCAGACAGGGTGAAGTGATGGTGTGCAGCTTCTGAGTCTGGGCTGTGAAGGGCACTGTGGCTTCTTCACTGCTCTTTCACTTGAATTAATTGCTGTCTCTGAGGAAAGTCAGTTGCTCTGTCATGAGGATAGGACGGGGGGAATGAGGCCTTCTCCCAGTAGCTACTTGGATGAATCTTCTTGAAAGTGAAACTTCCAGCCTCACTCAAGCCTTCAGGTGATTGTGTTCCTTGCCAACATCTTGATTTCAGATGCCCTAAGCAAGAAGCCCCTAGCTAGGCCACTCCCGAATCCCTGGTCCACAGAATGTGTAAGATAATGAATTCGGCTGTTTGAAGCCACTATACTTTGGGGCTATTTGTTACTCAGTAGTATAACTAACACACCACTGAACTTTACTCCAGTGAATTCGTTATTTGCATATTTCTGTTACAGACCTTTCTTCTATTCCCCAGCTAGGTAGTGAGCTCATAAGTGGAATGGGTTATGACTCACTTACCTGTGTGTCCCCCAAAATGACTGGCAAAGTGCCCTGCAAAAAGCAGGTTATCAATGCATTTTCTCTTCAACATAATAGAATAACGTCACTTTTAAAAATGTAGGCTCTGGGCACTGGCCAATGTGGCTCAGTTGGCTGGAGCATCGTCCCATAACCAGAAGGTTTCAGGTTTGACTCCCGGTCAGAGCACACACCTGGGTTGTGGGTTCAACCCCTTCTCTGGGTGTGTACAAGGGGTAACCAACTGATGCTTCTCTTTCACACTCATGTGTGTCTTTCTTCCTTCCTCTCTCTTGAAAAACAATGAAAAAATGTTCCTGGGTGAGGTTTTAAAAAATTAAATCAGAATATATGCTCTGGGATCAGGCATATATATGCTAAGAACCAAGCTTTACCATTTTCAACTGTGTGAATTTGGAAAAGTTAATTACTATCTTTAAGATTGTGTTTCCTTATCCACAAAATTGGGATAACAATAGACCCACATCAGTTTCATTGTAAGTGCAGGGGTGGGGAAAATACTGAATCCCCTCTCCCCATGTTTCCATAAATGGAAGAGGTTTCCATTCTACTCCCCAAGAGGGGGCAACACTGGAGAAATGCTTTTAGGCCCTCCTGTCACCCATCTCACTAGATCCTTCACACAGTGGAAGGACAAGTGTTTAATAGGTGAGGTTGATAGAACATGACACCAAATATCAGATATTTAATGGTCACTGTTCTGGGTACTCCAGTCTCACCTCACCTCTTTCTTACTCATGAATATGCAAGCAGACATTAAAACATTCATTTTCTGTGACCTGACCTGAAGCAGAAAATACAAGTGGGTCAGGGCCTAGAAACTGGCTTAGAGAGACCGACCTGGAAGCCCACATCCACTACGCTATTTCTCCTTCCCTTTTCTCTGTATTCTCTCTGTCTCTCTGTTGCTCGAGCTCTCTCTCTCTCCCTCTCTCTGTCTTACAAGTCTCAGGTAGCCCAAGACACCCCCTTCCATGCACCTTTCTGCTAAGCTCAATTTTCCCCACAGGCAAGTAATAAAATCTAAATTTGGGGAAGATCATAGAAGAGCCTGAAATATTCCACAATCCAGTTTAAAGATTAAGAGAGCAGACTTATTCTCTTTAAATTTTATTATGGAAATTTTCAAACACATACAAAAATAATCAGAACAGTATAATGAAACCCCCGGGTCTGCCTATCACCCAGCTTCAGCAGTTTATGGCCAACCTCATTTCAGAGTTGTATCCGTAATTCTCCTCTGGTTACTTATACCTATTGTCAGTTGTCTGAAAACTTGAGGGAAGAGTTACTGATTAATTGACACTCTCAGATTTCTATAAGGAAGTTAAATGAGAGAATGTATATGAAGCTCCCCTGGAACATAATAAGCTTTCAAAAAAAACATTAGCGTTAATAATGATGACATGCCATCGGTGGAGCTGAAAGCATACTTTGACCAGGATGATTTGGGATGGAAAAATGGGGATCACTCTCCTCACCTACTGCCTGCTGGACTGACAAGAGCTTATAATGTTGTGGGTAGTAGGAACTGACTGGATGAAAACTAGGAAGGATTAGCTGCTCTCACAATTGCCAGAGTCTTTTCTTTAAAATTGTGTCATTTCTTTCTCACATTAATCACTTACCTCCAGCCTCATGCGTTGGGACACCATGCCTATGTCGATGCTGACAAACACCATTCGATTTGACCCGTCGGGTTCCGCCATGACGAAAGCACGGCTGTACAACCTGGTGAGGAGGCCCCGTGCATTCTGGCCACTCTTGCCGTAGCCCATCTGCAGAGGAAGAGAGAATCAGAGCCACTCGGCCTCACACAACCCCTGCCCACCACAGCCACCAGAAAGCAGGCTCGCCCATGGCGGAAAAGGCTGCCACTGCCGAAGAAGGACATAGAGAAACAATCCACATGACACTGAAAGCTCTGAGTGAGATAATAACGTGTGTTTTCAAGAATAAAGCCAACATCATAAAAGAGGATTTACTCTTCTTTGTAGAAAAATATAAAGGCAAAGTAGTGATAAGCTTGACAGAGCTATTCACTGCTCCATGGGCGAAGGAGGGGCTGGCATGGCTCAGAATTTTGTTAACTGCACTGGAGACCTTTCGGGCTTCCCTGGCATTTGAAACAAAACCTTTTCTCTTGCCTGTCTAAGGTACTACACAAGGAAATAGCTCCCCTCCCACCATGCACATGGCCCAGGAACATCCTGAAATTGAAGGCTTTCTCCCTTTGGTCACTTTGGTTGTTGGTGTGTGTGTGTGTGTGTGTGTGTGTGTGTGTGTGTGTGTGTGTGTGTGTTGGTCCATGACTTTAATTTTGTTTTATTTTTGTTTTTGCTTTTTACCTAAAGAAAATGGTTTCTTTATGATTAAGTACTCTTTACTGAGTATACCTAACCCTGCCTTCTCCCATGTTATCCCTCCCTAAGCCAAGTCAGTTCAAATACACCTGTCCTAGCCCCTTCTACCACCACATCATAAAACCCATCCTTAAAGTATACCCAGGCCTTCAGAATGCTCCCTCTACTGCTTGCTTTACCCTCATATGAGTATTTATTTAGGATTACATTCCAGAGTCAGTTTCCAGAACAGACAGCAGGGAATAGAGTTGACCCTTGAACAGCATGGGTTTAAATGGTGCATGTCCACTTATGCATGAGTTTTTTCAATAAATACAGTTAGCACTTCAGCTCCACAGGTTTCACGTGCATGGACTCAACCAACTACCAAAAACAGTCTTTTTACATTCCCAACCATGGGTCAAAAATACTGATTTTGATCTACAGTCTATTGAATCTGTCAACACAAAGGGCCAATTATAGTTAAGTCTGGAGGGAGTTAAAAGCTACACATGAATGTTCAACTGCATGAGGGTTTGCACCCTAACCCCCACATTGTTCAAGGGTCAGCTATAATTCCTTGACTCTAAAGATCACTTGGTAGGAGGGAGACAATCCCATCAGATAACCTCCTGCTCTGATTTCCTAGGGAAGTACTGATATAAATTATATTACCACCACTTAGTCAGGAAGATGCATGCTAGCAGCCAACTGGACACACCTAACACACTGAAGGGTTTCACTTGATGTCTCCAGTGTTGGGGGCCCAAGCTAGGTTTCCAGTTTCAACTAGCTAGAGTTGCCTACATTTTCCAGAGAGATTTAAATCCTTAAGTCTTCAGCCTAGAGGTTTTCTGGCTTTTCTTGAAAAAAATTGTCAGATACAGCAACCCTGAGTCCACATTCTTACAGAGCAACAATCAGCTAGAGCCATGCACTTTCTAGTTGTACTATAATCCCCACAACTTCCTACTGTCCTGAAACTGAGGATCAATAGCTATTTCTCATCTTCCACTGGCCTGCTTCAGTCATTTATGATACCTGCTCATCCTCTGTAGTATTTGAGTTTCTCAGCCCTGCCAATTCATAAAAAATGGCTAACCGTCTTTACAAGGGAGCTGTAGTTAAATAAATGACTCCCTCTTCCTTATAGGACAATGTTCACAATGTTACATACCAGTGAAGTTAATAGAAAAGCAAGAAGATGATGCTATAATAATCAGTAGTAAATGTAGGGTTCAAAATAATAAAATCATTATTTCACAGTCTCTTTGAGGAGCCCTGATTACCTACCATATTGATATCTGCTACTTGTCCTGTGCAGTCAGCTCGCCCAACACCAATATGGTAGCCACTGAAGTTCTGAAATAGAGGAGGCTCTGGGGTAGTAGTCACTGGGGACCCCTGGGTGGCTGTCGGGGTTTGTGTGAGTGTTGAGACTTGAGGGACTGTGGAGTCCTGGATAGCTGGTGTGCTCCGGGTGGCCTGAGGGCTCTCAGTGGCTGGAAAACCTGAATCTAAAAACAGATTAAGACATTTGAGAAACAACCATTCAGCCCACTTACCTGCCAGCATCAGTTAGGACACTTAGGTTCACGTTGCTAAGAAAAAGTCTTTGTATATTCTTTTAGGTGTAAGGTACATGGTAGAAAACATCTCAAAAATTTGTTTTATATCAATCCTAAGGATGATCTTTTTCAACCAAACAATCAAGACACCCATCAAATGTCCTTCAGCTTCTCCTCACAAGCCATTCCTTGTCAAACTCATCATCCTTCTTCACTCACCATGCACTTCTGCACCAACCAAACAAATCAGGTGCCAGGTTCATGGCATACAACCTACTAAACCCAGCCCCTGGGGATTCATTTCTACCATTCTCTCAATCCAGAGCCCTTACTTCTTTCTGCTCCATGAACCAGTCTCCACTACCCCATCAGAGCTGGTTCATTTCTATTACACCCACATCCAGCTCAACTCCGCATCTCTAAGATGCCACCCCAGCTGTCTGTGCCCTACTCTGATCTTCCTCAACCTTCTTAAGACTTTTATTCTTTTTCTTAAAGACTTATTCTGAATGCAACCTAGATCATTGTACGCTTGTTGATAGTTCTACCTTATATGCCATATATATACATATATAGTGATTCTCATATCACCATATATGTATATACACACACTATTTCTTCATATGTATGTGTGTGTGTGTGTGTGTGTGTGTGTGTATAACATATGCACACAAATATGGTATAGAGACTAAGTGGGAAGGTGCCAGAAACAAACATCCAGTTTTAAAACTGACTTTACATGCCCTGGCTGGTGTAGCTCATTGGATTGAGCCTGGGCTGCAAACCAAAAGGTTGCCGGTTCGATTCCCAGTCAGGGCACACACCTGAGTTGCAGGCCAGGTCCCTAGTGGGGGCCATGTGAGAGGCAACCAGACATGATGTTTCTCTTCCTCTCTTTCTCCTTCCCTTCCCCTCTTTCTAAAAATAAAAAATAAAGTAAAAATAAATTTTAAAAAATAAAAATAAAACTGACTTTACAACTGGCTGGTGTGGCTCATTGGATTGAGCACTGTCCTGTGAACCAAAGGGTCATTGGTTCAATTCCCAGTAAGGGCACATGCCTGGGTTGTTATTCATGCCAGTGGGGGGCACATGAGAGGCAACCACACACTGAAAAATAAATTAAAAAATAAAAAACAAAAATAGAACTGACTTTACCAATTACTAACGGAACAAGTTACTTAGGCTATTTCACCTCAATTTTCTCATCTATAAAATAGAGAATAATAATACTCTACTTTCTAGGGTTGTTTTGAACAATAAATATGTTAATGTATATTAAAAATCTAGAGCAATGTAGGCTGCCTTACAGCTCTGGTTGCATTCATGTGTTTAGACATCTTATATATCCACCTTACTTGCTTTCTTGTTTTCCACCCAGGCAATAGCCAGAGGTGGCCAAAGTGGCAGATGTCAGTGCCTCAGGGCATTAGTGGTCAGGAAGTACTGAGACAAGAAATTAACAGCTACCTTATTATGGGATCCTAGAATGTTAGAGCTCAAAAAAAAATTAGAAATCACTTCATCCAATCTCCTGTTTTACGTGCAAGAATACTAAACCCCAGAGAGTGGCTTAACCAAGATTCATGGAGAGCCTATAATTAATCAGGTGCCCAAACCAGATCCTCCAGCTCAGAATCTGATGTGATTTCAGCCACATTCCAGATGGAATTACAAACTGTGTCTTCTCTTCCCCAAGCCCACATTCTCTACAAGACATTACGTATTGCAAGAAAGGAAGCAGGAACCTTTGCTATTGCTTTATTGATACCAATGTAGGAATGTGGTGCCAACCAAGGCAAAACTTACACAGCCAAAGGCAAGGTCTTTGTGATCTCCAAGTCCACCTTCCATCTCTGTAAAACAGTACTAAGACTAGCACCTACCTTCATGTGAGCTTTGGCCAAAAAAGTAACCTTTCAATAAACAGCAACTTCTACTGTGATGATAGTTACTGTAATTATTGATAACCAACCTGAGCCTCATTTTAAGAGCTAAAACTAGATAAGCCCTATAGATCCTTCCATTTCTAGCAGTCCAAGACCCTGCTCTGCCCACAGCTGGCACAGAGGATCTCTGGTCCTCTGTGTTTACAGGGAATTCAAAGCACCGGACATGGTAGAAAATACACTTGAAAAGAGAGAAAGCCACAGAAGAGAAAACTGAGGTGCAAACATGCCATCTTCTTCTCCATTTTCTCTGAGTCCAGCCCTCCTTTTACTTTGGCCAAAGCACACAATCCCCACTGTTTCTCTACTCATTTAACAGGTATAATATAACCTAACACTGAAGTAGGGGCTTCATCAAAGACCTTTGGCCCATTATTGCCTATAAATATAGCCTACATAGTTTTTAAAAACTAAATTCATTTTTAACACTAAAAAAAAAATCAAAAGATGTCTAAACATTCCAATGTCTAGCTTCTCATGAAAATGCAGGAGAACTGAGTTCATGTTTATTATAGCAGCAAACAGCTGGTACTCGGAGGGCATCTATGGACCCTTTTCACCCAAATCGCAGCTGCCCCCATCCTACTTTACCTCCCCACTGGATCTCGTTTATGGAGCTTAATTGGCCGTCCCAAGGATTTGAATTTAAGACCCTCTTCTTTAAGGCTTTTTAAAGACTTACTGATAATCAATGGATCTTTTATTCACCTTTTGTCCCCAGGAAAAGTTGATACCAAACAGAGGCAAAGGGTAAGAGAAGAGGATTGAGGCAAAATCTCACATCACTGGGCCTCAAAGAATTCTGATTTGTGCTTAGATCGGTGGAAAAATGGAAGATAAATAACTGCATACTAGATGCTGTCAACTGTGGGGGCAAAGGTAAACTTGATAAAAATTGCTATCAGTACAGAAAGAGCAATGTAATGTAAAGGTTAGGTGGCTACGCCAGGCATCGTAAGTACACATTGAACTGTCCTGTTATCAGCAGACACTATTTCTTGCCTCAGTGTCCCCAGTGATCAAGGAATTTGCTGCAGGCTGAGGTGCAACAGCCAAAAGAGCCCATGACACTTGCCTTTGTGATTTTCAATGGTCCCACTGGTGATAAACAGGAGGGTGAGAAGGGCCACTGTGATTGCGGTCATCATTACAAGGAGGAAAATCAGGAATGTCTCTAATACGGAGAAGGTACGTTTGGCCATTTTTCCTAAGAAAAAGCAGAGATAGAAGAGACAACAAAAGACAGAATCAAAAATTAAAATGCATTTGCTTTAAGCTGCCCAGGGTATCTTAGCTCTTTCATAAGAATAGTCTATACCAGACAAGCACAAGAGCACACTCGCCGCTAGTTCCATATCCCAAGCCCATTGCAGAGAAGACCAATCAATTACAGAACTCTTTGATAAGTTCAGATGGGGTTTCCAAATCCTTATCAGCACAGTGCTCATCCTGGCATCCACTACTCATCATTTGGCATTGGTAACTAAGCAAAAATCTATTTGCATCCCTTGGCTACATCATTACTGCTTTCATTAATGGTGACGATGTTATTTATAGGTCTGTACATGGGTCTAGGTTGGAGCACTTCTGTCAGTGGTAATGGCTGATCCACCCACACTGTTTGTACTTGTGAGAAGGTTTGCTAAGATGACGGCTTTACTCTCTCATTAAAGACAAGTAAAATTATCTTGTCCACATGGAGGTGAAATCCATACCTTTAGCATTTAAACTCCATGTTTTAACTTTAAATACTACCTGATAAGAAAATGGCATAAAAGGGGTGTGAGTTTTGGCATCACTGTCTCAAGACAGGTGTTAATAAAATTTCCCTCTTCAGTGATAAGAAGGATCTCACACATTTAGCAAATCCTGTAGCAAAGGATGAGGATAAAAATAAAAATGCCCCTGTGCTCTACAAAAGCAGAAAATGTACTTGCAAATATTTAGGATATTTTAAAAGGAGAATTCATCATTACTCAGGGGGAGTATAGAAGCTGAGAAGTCATGTAACAGGAAAAACTATATTGTGGTAGTTAAATATTGGATTCTGAAGTCTGACTCCAGAATTTAAATCTCATTTCTGCCACTTACTGCAGCTGAACTTGGGAAATCTCAATAAGCCTCAATTTCTCCATCCATAAATAGGAATGTGATGATGATAATTTTAATACCTATCTTATAGAGTTCATATAAAAATAAGAGGAGATAATACAATAATTTGTTCCATGGAATGTAATGTGTTCAAAATGTTGACATTCATCATTGGGCTCCAAAATGGCGAGGACTCTGCTCCTCACAGTCCTTAAAGGGAGCTTATGTGAGACTTCCGACAAGATGGAGGAATAGGTGGACGCACTGTACCTCCACGCACAACCAAGATTAGAACAACAACAATTTAGAGCTAAAATAACACCCGGAACTGATAGAGGATTTATCTGAATGGAAGTCGGACAGCCAAGAAGTTGAAGTAGACCTGTTCATCCAGACCGGTAGGAGGGGCCAAGAGGACTAGCCGGGTGAGCGCGGGGCTGGCACAGGTCGGCGGTGCGTAGAGGTCGGGGAAAACTTGGTGTGAACTCGGCACGTAAGCCATCCAGGCGTGCAAGAACGCAGCGGGTGGACCCTGAGTAAGCAAGCTGTGACTGGAGGACCCAGTGAGGCAGCGATTGTGGACCAGGGCAGAGCTCGCAGCCCAGGATCCCAGAGAAGGGACTGAGATCCCAGGAGAACGGAGCTACCGCTATTGTTCGCCCCCGCCCCCACATATAACGTCACAATCTAGTGACTGGGGTGCCCAGCCCCGGTGAACACCTAAGGCTCCACCCCTCACTGTAACAAGAGCAACCAGACCAGAAAAAAAAGAAAAGAAAAAGGAGAGACAGGGAGAGACATGTTTCCAACAGAAGAACAGTTCAGTCCCCCAGAACTCATCCTTTTGAGCGACCAAGAAATAGCCAATCTATCAGATGCACAGTTCAAAACACTGGTGATCAGAAAGCTCATGAATTGGTTGATTTTGGGCACAAACTAGATGAAAAGATGCAGGTTACCATAAAAGAGATGAAGGAAGATACACGGAGGAGAGCCAATAGTGAAGGGAAGGAAACTGGGTCTCAAAACAATACAGTGAACCAGAAGGAAGATAGAATCAACCAAGCAGGAAAGCATGAAGAAATAAGAATTCAAAAAAATGAGGAGAAGCTTAAGAGCATCCAGGACATCTTTAAATGTTCCAACATCCAAATTATAGGGGTACCAGAAGGGGAAGAGGAAAAGCAACAGATTGAGCACATATTTGAACAAATAATAAAGGAGAACTTCCCCAATCTGGCAAAGGAAATAGTCTTCCAAGAAATTCAGGAAGCTCAGAGAGCCCCAAAGAAGTTGGATGCAAGATGAAACTCACCAAGGCACATCATAATTACATTAGCCAAGGTAAAAATGAAGGAGAGAATCCTAGAAGCAGCAAGAGATAAGGGAACAGTCACCTACAAAGGAGTTCCCATCAGACTGTCAGCTGATTTCTCAAAAGAGACCTTATAGGCAAGAAGGGGCTGGAAAGAAATATTCCAAGTCATGAAAGACAAAGACCTATATCCCAGATTGCTCTATCCAGCAAAGCTCTCATTTAGAATAGAAGGGCAGATAAAGTGTTTCTCAGATAAGGTCAAGTTAAAGGAGTTCATCATCACCAAGCTCTTATTTTATGAAATGTTAAATGGACTTATCTAAGAAAAGAAGATAAAGAAAAAACATGTATAGTAAAAGGACAGCAAACTCACAATTATTAACAACCACACCTAAAGCAGAACCAAAAGAAACTAAGCAAACAACTAGAACAGGAACAGAACCACAGAAATGGAGGTCACATGGAGGGTTAGCAACAGGGGGGGGGGAGGAGGAGAGAGGGGGAAAAGGTATAGAGAATAAGTAGCATAGAATGTAGGTTGAAAATAGATAGGGGGAGGGCAAGAATAGTATGGGAAATGTAGAAGCTAAAGAACTCATAAGTATGACACATGGACATGAACTAAAGGGCAGGGAATGTGGGTGGGAGAGGGTGTACAGGGTGGAGGGGAGTGAAGGGGGGAAATGGGACAACTGTAATAGCATAATCAATAAAATATATTAAAAAAAGAATTGTGAGTTTAGAGGGGAGGGAATTTCCGGGGAATTTCGGAGAAGAATGGGAAGGGTTTATAGGAACAAGTATAAAGGACACATGGACAAAAACTAGGGGTGGTGGAAATGGGAGGGAGGTGGGGACGGAGGAGTGGGTGGGCTGGGATGGGAGTAAAGGACAGAAAACTGTACTTGAACAATGATTAAAATAAAGTTAGAAAAAATAATAAGCAATAAATATTATGTTTCAAAAAAAAAAGGGAGTTTATGTGACATGCTATTAAAAGGTGATTGGAATCACAGTGGAGACTTGAGAGCCCACTTTATTAACCCCTGCTTTAGGAAGCCTGAGCAATGAGATGGGACTGGAATCCCAAAACTTGTCCCCCACAAATGGTATTATGTAGCTAAGATGTTGCTACCCCCAAGAGTTGTAAATTGACAACAAACAGTTGTGTTTAGTATTGTCCAAATAATTTTTTTTGCTTCAGTTTGACTTAGTTGATAAAAGATAAATCTTATACTTTTTTATAGAGTATACATTTACAAATCTGAAACTTCAAATTTTCTTTCAAAAATACTTCATAAAGTATGGTAACACTGAGTCAGCATTCCCATGTGCCAAGATTTTCAAAACTTAGTAGGTGCTGTTCCCTTTAGATGGGGAATGACTTCTCCAATCTGCCATAGTCCATACCCAGTGGGTCTTGTCCATCTAAGTCAATGCCTGTAGTCATTTGATTTTGCAACTCCTGGACTAGAGGTTAAAAATCAGTGTACCAGCAAATACTTCTGAGGTAGAACTGAACTGGGGAACGGACAAAGAAACCAGGACATCTCCCCAAATTTCCTAGTTACTGGTATGCTTTCCCCATCCATATCGCACCACCATCATTCCCTTCAACACCAGCAGCAGCAACAACTTCAAATTTAGGTTCTGTACACAAAATTTAGATACAAATTAGTCTGTATCTTGGTCCCAAGTTTCACTGACAGCTCCTGGAAGTCAGGAAGCACATCTAAGATATGCCTCTGAAACTCTGATGATCCAAGAGGTTTACTAGTCATTAGCTATTGTTTCAGTAGCAAAGTTCAAACCCAGTATACCTAGTTCATGCTCTAAGCTTTGGTTTCTATAAGCCTTTCTACTGGCTGAGACAGCTTCTGTAAAAAAAAAAAAAAATGCAATTAAAAATGGATGACTGTCCTGGCTGGGTGGCTCCGTTTGTTGGAGCATTGTCCTGTACACCAAGAGTTCAATACATCTGAACTTTTCAATACACCTGCTTGCAAGTTCAATTCCTGGTCAGTGTACATGCCTGGGTTGTGGGTTCAATCATCATGTCAGGACAAGTATGGGAGGCAACCAATCAAAATCTCTGTCTCACATTGATGTTTCTCTCTCCTCTCTCCACCCCCCCCCCTTCCTTCCTCCCTCCCTTCCTCTCTCTCTAAAATCAATGAAAACATATCCTTGGTGTCAGTCATCAATTGAAAAAAATATCAGTGACTGACAGCTGGACCTCCCAACCCCAGATACCCTACAGTCAGATTGTATATGTAAATGTGGCTATGTGGTAGGGATCTGTGTAACAAACAGACATGATATAAAATCATGCTTTTAAAATATTTTTTAGTTTTTCTCTGTTGACTGATTACCACTACCAGGCTTTTGCATAACTCAACAGTAGGACCTGATTTAACAGCAGAGTTTCCACCTCTTACTTAGATTTCAGCGACGTACCTCAGGTGTTTCAACACTCTTATTTTGTTGCCAGAATTATTGCCAACACATGACAATTCTTTTTGAACCCATTTTCACTGTCTATTTCTCATTAATGATTAAAATCTGAATTCAAAGTTTAAAGCGAATGCCTGTTCAGAAGGCAGATGAACCTTAGAGAGCTAAACCCAACAATTACATTTTAATTAAGGATTTATACATCTAATTTATACATCTAATTTATAATCCTTTAATTTAAGGATTATACATCTCCTAATAGTTCCCGATTAATCTAGAAGAATCCTGAAAGGTCAATGATATGCCCCTAATGCGACAACAGAAAGCCACTTGTCACATGTTTCCCGTGCTGAGGTCCCTATTTCTCAAGATTGTGAAAGTAAAAAGTAATAATTTAGCAAAGTGGGCTTTCAAAGCTAAGAAAAAGGTGTGAAGATTTAGGGTTTCATCAAGATCTCTGAGGCAATAGATTACTCAAGATCCACCCTTCCTTTTCCAAGAAAATATAGGCATTCTTACCTTATTCAACCACTCTAAAGAATTTCTGCATTCAGTAAAGCAAGTGATGGTCCAGAATTGTGTTTCCTTTCCCTTGCACGTTGCTCAGCAAAGACTTCTCAGTGCTTTCTGACACATAGGAAGAAAAGATTTTTCACAGTGATGTTCAAGAGAGTTAGAGTTCTCATTATCACAACTTTGTGGGCTTGGTACAAGGATAAGATTAAAGTGTATTGATAATAAATGCTTAAACGCAAACTCTCACCTGGGCTGTACTGACACTAAGGTGGAAGTTGCAGAGGGCCTACGGGACTGAAGGTCAGTTCTATGCAATGTCTACAAGCTGGATCACAAAAATCAAAGCAAAACAAACCAACAAACCACCTGCTTTATTCACTACTGGTCACTCAAACACATAGAAGACAGGACAGTGAGAACCTAGGAAAGTTTCTAGGCAAGTAGAATGGAGGAACTGAAACAAAAAAAGAAAACAAAGCCAAACAGTTTGAGCAACTTATAGCCAGCTGGTGAATCACAAGACCTTATCTTCCCTAACCAAGGACACGAGAGAGCAAATCATTTATACCTCTCCACCCTAACCAAAGAATACATAGCTTAAATCTCCCTGGTCTGGAAGAATAAAAAACAGAGACCCAGTTAATGCCATTTATGCCAGCTAAACCCAAGGACAGATAAAGTCAGAGGAATAATAAAAACCCCGTTGAAAGTCAGACAGACCCAAGGTAAATGTAAAACAGTATAACAGACCAAAAAATATTCCCAAGCTCACTCCCCACCCATACGCTCATTTTGACACATCAACATATTAAAAATGCATCTGGAAAGCTGATGAATATTCTGCTGAAACCCTCCCCTAAAATTCTCACCCACAGAGAGAAGATAAAAAGCCCTCAAAACAAAGATTCAGGGTGGTGCCCACACCTTTTCCAGACACGTTCTTCTGATTTCTTCCTCAGCTCTAAAGGCCCCCATGACACTTGCAGCCAAGGGAGCGGCAGGCAGTGGGCAGCAGCAGCTCCTCCTGGGCTTACCCCCTGGTCCTGTCTCCAAGGCCCCTTTTTTCTGACTTTCCAGTGAGCAAACAGCAGCCCTGCCCTGGCTGCTCCTTTCCTGTCACATTTCTAGGGAGCCAAAGCAGAGCACCACCTGTCTTTCTCCTGTTACTCCTTCTACCCTAAGTCCTTCCTTCGTTTCACTGTCTTTTTTTTTTTATCAGTATAGAAGTCTTTGATTTTTTTCACACTTAGGCCACGAATTCACAGGGAATGGGTTCCAGCAGCTCAGGCTCCTTTCCATTGGTTCTCACACAGTGCACTTCTCTGGGCGGAGCAGGCTGACACTTCAACTGAACCCAGGTGCCTTTCTCTTTAGCTTCCTTCTTTTTCTGACCATTCTCCTTCACATGTTTCAGGAAGCTCTCTCAACTCTCTGAGTGCTTAATATGCTCAATTCGTACATTCATTCTCTTGGCTCTTAACTTGTTTGTTTACAACAATACCCATCACATGCCGGGTGATTTTGAGATTATTAAGGACAGTAAAACACTGGAAGTCTGTCGGAACTGCCATCTTCCAGTGTTTCATTGTCTTTAATAAACATTCTCTGAAAATCACCTGGACTTGTGTTGTGAAAACTTTCCTACACGATGTCAAGAACCCACACGCTACAGGCGGGCCTGAGGCAGGCTGGTCTCTGTCTGGCAACTATAGCCTGGGCTGTGGGCCCCCCTGGGCAATATTTATACCAATTTCAGAACAGAAAAGCGTTTTCCATTTTTAGATTCTCACGTATAAAAAGAATGCAAAGTTTTAGATTAAGGATGTGAATAATGAACATATAACAGAGTAAGAATGATGTACAATCATTAAAAATGGTATTGAAGAAAAAACTTAATGACAGGAAAAATTACTAAGAATATTAGGTTATTTTAAGTTTACAAAAACATTTGATACCATTTGTGTAAAGTATACATTATTTATATAAGTGTGGTCAAATGGACTACAAGAAAAGTACACCAAAGCATTAAGAAGTAATTATCTGGTGTTAAGATTGTGGGTGTTTTTTGGTTTTGTTTTTTTAATTTTTTGACTCATTATTTTCTATAATAGCCATGTAACACTTTTGTAATGGGAAAAATAAAATGTGTACCTTCTCTTGGAGAATATATACTACATAACAGCATGAAGTTAAACAATGGCCCAAAAGAGACGAAGAGAAGAAGAAATAGGCCAGACCCCCCCGGTTTTCCAAGTAAACCCAAACTGTCCAAGAAATAGTTTGAAGAAGACTGCATGGGCCACTTCATTCCTGGCAGAGTTTGTGGAGAAACCAGCCCTCAATGGTCCATCCCTCCCACCTTTCATTAGCATAATGATGAAAACAAATCTGAGGCAACACCCAATTCAAGAATATAATACACATGGAATTGCTTCCTCCCCAACCCTTATTCCCAGCCACCCCATTCCTGTTCCAGAGGCAATCACCACCCACCCATGTTTTGTAAATCTTTACAAAATGATTGTATGCATATTTCTATGTCTTTTTGATACAATTAGCATAATTCTGCTTTCCTTCACTTAATGTATAGTAGAAAATGTAACTACAAATAGGATGTATGTAGGCCTCATTCTTGTTAATGGCTGTGTAATATCTGGTTACATGATATATCTGTAAATTCCTAGAAGCTAAATTGCTGGGTCAAAGGGGAGCATTTAAAATTTTGCATCAGATTCTGGCCAAGATAGAGACATAGGTAGACACACTGTGCCTCCTTGCAACCAAAAGGACAACAACAAATTTAAAAACAAAAAAAATCAACCAGAAATGCCAGAAAATTGAACTGTAGGGATGTCTGACAACCAAGGAGTTAAAGAAGAAACATTGATCCAGACTGGAAGAAGGGGCAGAGATGGGCAGCCGGGTGGATAGGCCCTACAGTAAGGTGGGGGCTAGCAGACCGGGCAAGCTGGTGGCTGGAGGACCGAGTGGTCCCACATTGCTTGTGGATAAACCAGGAGGAGCACTGGGGAGTGAAACAGATCGCACAACCCAGGGTTCAAGCATGGGGAAATAAAGGCTCAAAACCTCTGGCTGAAAAAATCCATGGGGGTTGCAGTGCCAGGAGAAACTCCCAGCTTCACAGGAGAGTTTGTTTGAGAGACCCACAGGGTCCTAGAATGTACACAAACCACCTACCTGGGAATCAGCACTAGAAGGGCCCAGTTTGCTTGTGGGTAGTGGGGGAGGGAACTGGAAGCCACAGATTGCTGAGTGGGCCACATTTTTCCCTCTGGGACCCCTCCCCCATATACAGCACCACAACACAGTAACATCAGTTTCCCTGCCTGGTGAATACCTAAGGCTCTACCCCTTACTACATAACAGGTGTGCCAAGACAAAAAAAAAATGGCCCAAATGAAAGAACAGATGAAGCTCCAGAAAAACAACTAAGCAATGAAAAGATAGCCACCTATCAGATGAAGGGTTCAAAACACTGGTAATCAGGTTGCTCACAGAATTGGTTGAGTATGGTCACAAAATAGAGGAAAAAGTGAAGGCTATGAAGAGTGAAATAAAGGAAATGTATAAGAAACCAACAGTGACAGGAAGGAAACCAGGACTCAAATCAACAGTTTGGACCAGAAGGAAGAAATAAACATTTGACCAGAACAGAATGAAGAAACAAGGATTCAAAAAAGTGAGGAGAGGCTTAGGGACCTACAGGACAACTTTAAATATTCCAACATCTGAATCATAGAGGTGCCAGAAGAAGAGGAAGATCAAAAAATTGGAAACTTATTTGAAAACATAATGAAGGAGAACTTCCCCAATCTGGCTAAGGAAATAGTCTTTCAGGAAGTCTAGGAAGCTCAGAGAGTCCCAAAGAATTTGGGCCCAAGGAAGCACACACCAAGGTACATCATAATTACATTACCCAAGATTAAAGGTAAGGAGAGAATCTAAAAAGTAGGCAGAGAAAAGGAGACAGTTACCTACAAAGGAGTTCCCATAAGGCTATCAGCTGATTTCTCAATAGAAACCTTGCAGGCAAGAAGGGGCTGGAAAGAAGTATTTGAAGTCATGAAAGGCAAAGACCCACATCCAAAATTACTCTATTCAGCAAAGCTGTCATTTAGAATGGAAAAGCAGATAAAGTGCTTCCCAGACAAGGTCAAATTGATGAGTTCACCATCACCAAGCCATTTTTATATGAATGTTAAAGGGAATTATCTAAGAAGAAGATCAAAACTATGAATAGTAAAATGACAACAAACTCACAACTATCAAAAACCAAACCTAAGAAAAAATGAAAACAAAACAAACTAAGCAAACAACTAGACCAGGAACACAACCACAGAAATGGAGATCACATGGAGGGTTATCAGTGGGGAAGGGCAGGTGGGGTGTGGGGGAAAAGGTACAGGGAATAAGTAGCATAAATGGTAGGTAGAAAATAGACAGGGGAGATTAAGAATAGTATATAAAATGGAGAAGCCAAACAACTTATATGTACGACCCATGGACATCCACTAAGATGAGGAGGAAATGCAGGTGGGAGAGGGTGTGCAGTGCAGGGGGGAATTAGGGGGAGAAAAAAGGGACAACTGTAATAGCATAATCAATAAAATATATTTAAATAAATAAATAAATAAAATGTGCCAATATTTGCAAATAAACCTACATGAGGTCTGTGCCAGCATGTATCAAAATCTCTATTTTACACACCTCCACTAACAGGACAGCTCAGGCTCTCTGACCTTTGTCACTGTGACAGGTAAAAAAAAAAAGTGCTATTTCCTCATGGCCTTCCTTTGCATTCTCTTCTGAATTAGGCCAAATGTAGTCATACATTTTTAAAAACAGAGATAACAGATATATATATATATATATATGTCGTCTATATATACAGCACATAGTAATTAATGTATCTTAGCTACTTCTCTGCTGTTGCAGAGGGGAATGGGTTAAACCAGCATTAAACAAGTTTTGTGTGGTGTTTACGTTAAAATTCTTGGTGTCAAGCAACAGGGACCAAACAGAGCTAACCTAAGGCAAAGGGAAGGCAAGAGAGAAGTAA